TAATAGATAAAAATTGAAGAAACTGTATGGTGTATAAGGTGTATAATATAGTGGTTATGTAAGAATCACATTAAATACATTAAAATTGTGTATCGTTAAATGGTGAGTAATTATGGTAGCTTTTAAGATACAATGTCATGTATTTGCGGGTCGATTTGTTCCTGCTCATGTTTCTCGTGATGAATTTCCTCCTTCATTCTCTTTTCTTCCTCGATCATATCAAATATCATATCATCAAAGATCTGTTGAAGATAGTTAGCTAATGCTGAGTCAGGATTAACTGCTTTAGCTATATCAATATCATGTGGATGAGGTTTTAAACCAAATTTAATAACTAAAAACCTAACAAGCTCTAAATTAGAACTGATAGTAGCATAATAAAGCAATGTTTTGTGATCAATAGTTTCAGCAAGTGCATTACAGTTGAGATCAGTTAGAAAGTATTGTACTAACTCTATGCTACCAGCTTCACATGCTCCATGAACTGAAGTGTATCCATCATTATCAGGATCATCAGGAGTACAGGGGAAGGTCTCTATGAGATAACGTACCATGCGAATATTATCAGAACGAGAGGCATAATGAAGAGGAGTACGACCAGACTTGTCTTTAGGTGTTGGGTTAGATTCAATGTTTGGCTTCAAATACTCGTATATATAAATTCTTTTTATTAAATGCAAGCAGGTGATTCCATCTTCATCTTCTAATTCAGGATCTAGTCCATGTGTCTCGATTATTGTTCTTACTATTCTGATATCTCCTCCTTCACATGCTGCATGAAGTAAACCACGTCCTCTATTATCTATTACATTAACACCTTGAGGATAAATACTAGCCAAATAATGAAACATATCAATATTGCCATCACTGCAAGCTGTATGTAATACGGTGGATCCTTCATTATCAGTAGCTATAAGGAGATCATGATGAGTAGAACTACCAGTGACTGAAGACAGTAAAGTTTCAGCAGTGTCATCATGTCCAGAGGCAACTGCTATGTGTAATGGTGTCTGTCTTTCCTTGTTAGTAATTAATAGATTATTGTTTGATAGACTGGCTTCTAGTAATAGAGATACCATATCCTTTCGTCCTAGCCCACAAGCATAATGTAATGGTGTATTACCATCTTTATTTTGTACATTAATAAGTACAGCATTATTGTGTGCGTCGTGAGGACTGTCTGATAAATGCTTTATCTCATGTAACCAGACAACACTCATTGAGGGTATACTCTTACTCAGTAAATATTCTAATATTCTATATCTATTAGCTGTCACAGCAAGATGTAGTGGTGTAAAATCTTGATGATTGGTTACATTAGGATTACAGTAATTATTATCAATGAGATACTTCACTACATTAAAGTGACCCCTTGCTACTGATATGTGAACTGCTCCAGACCCTTCATTATCAGTAGCTGATAGATTACACTTCTTACTAATAAGATATTTAATAACTTCTAACTGATTGAAGTACACTGCAGTAAGGAATGGAGTACAACCACGTCCTCTGTCAAGTAGCTCAAGTGACGATGGTATGTGTTCTATAATGTACTGGACCAAGTTCACTCCCTTACTACACGCTAAGTGAATAGGAGCCATTCCATCATTACTCATAGCACACATCA